AAAAATTGTAAAAAATTGTAATTGAGTTTTAAATTTAATATAATTTTACACCTGATGATGGTTTAATAAAACCGAAACATGTTGTAACTGTTCCAATTGTAAATCGATTATTCGATATGGAACACAGAATGATATTTTAATTATCTTATTTTAAATACATTGTGATTTGACGGAATAACCAAATAATTTAATTTTAATGAAGGTATATTCTACAAACTAAGGTAGCATTAAACAGTAAAGGACATAACTTAAAGAAACTACACTACCTCAAAGTATGATATGTCCTGGTAATTGGAATTAAGTTTTGTTAATGAGACTGACTTTTGTCCAACAGATCACACAGGACTGGACATGTTTTAATCACACAGTGAGGAGATGGTATCCTGTGGCAAACCTGTCTTTATATCGACAAGTTCAGCTGTACGAGTCACATGCAAAAGGTAGAAAAGAATATTTATGTAGCATTATGGATAGGATTTGAGATTTTCACAGTGATCTGAATGTAGATGGTGGTCTTCTGCGTTGTTACGCTATGTAGCTACACAATTCAACAACTCAGAAGACCATCATCCATATCTGGGACAGAGCTATCATAAACATGACATAACAATGTATTTTGCATTATGCAATCAGAAGCTCTAGATCCTGAGAAATTATTGCTCTATAAAGTGTTCGATGTTCTAAAATTTATTAATGTCTTTGTTTTCATAAAGTGTTATTAACAGGATGTGTGTACACTTAAAATTATTCATTATCGGGACTTTTTCCATCGTCTGTTCTTTAACACCACGACATTTCGAAGGCTGGTTCTGCACGATTTATATTGTCCAGTGACAAAGACTAGCACTATCTAAGGGACACAACAGAGTAGGTACCTCTTACCTGAAGATGGAGACAGAACCAGCCTCCGAAACGTCATGGTTTTAAAGAACATACGATGGGAAAAGTCCTGATAATGAATAATTTTAAGTGCAAACTACTGTCGTCAAAACCCTTTAAAATTGAGGATGTATGTACTTCACTATTTGATACAGGGAAGGCAGCCACTATGCACTCAGTTTCTACACAACTAAGATAATTTCTTGTGGGCTAATTTAACCATTTTTCCACCTGCTGAAAAATCTTGTCTTAAGGGGGGGGGGGGGGGGTTTGGGGGTTTTTTTTTTTT